TGTGTGCTCAACAAAATAGTATCTTAAAGAAGCTGAGGGGTTTAGCATTTGGAAACCAAACTGTTAAAACCATTACCTCAAATTTACTTTCATAATTATCCATTGGTTGGTAAGATTTGAGTACTCTCTAAATCTGTAAGAAGCAGAGACTGAAAGGTACAGAGTTTTTTTTATTATTATTTTTTTTTAAGTCATAAAATTTCAGCTACTGAAGTATAACAATAAAATTCCCTCTCAATGAACTATTATTTTGTAATGGCTCCAAAGTTAAAGATCATTCGTTTATGTTTAAGTGGAACTGGAACTGAGAGCAGGAAGTTTAAAAAAATACAGAAAAAAAAAATCATTTTGTTGTTTAATTGAGCTTTTGAATAATTCATAAGGTTTACTTGAGCAGAAATGAATAAAAATATTTGCTTCAACTTTAGCAGCAAGTCTAGAGATAGTTTATGTCAGTGGTTGAGAAAGTTATGCTATACCTTTATCTATTTTTAATGCAGACAGGAAACTCACTTTTCCATGAAAGTCTCTGGCTTGTTCTAGTGGTAATTATTCATCAGAAACAATCACAGAATGCTCATTCAGTAGTAAATGGTCTATTTGACATCATTAGAGCAGCCCAAGGACTTAAAAATACCCTTTTCCTAGCTTGCAGGTGCGCTCGGTCATGCAATCTGCATGCAGGATCACACCAGAGTCCCTGGCAGAGGACAGCTGCTCTGATTTATTAGACCTCTGGAAACAGTATTGCTCCTGTTATCTACACATAATCCCTTAAATTTGTTTGACAGCTAAAGCCTGAAGCAACACTACTGAGCAAATCTTCAAGTATCAACTTTGAAGCTGACAATGAATACAGAAAGGAAAGGAAACGAAATGAAAGAAGAAAAACTGGAAGGAAAAAAATGTGGACCTTAAATATAGATCACTTTTCTCAAGGGAAGATTAATAATCATTTCCACTGAGCTGCATTAATGATTTTTAGGCAACTTGCTTCTGTTTGTAATTATTCTTCATAATCTCATCTCTTGTAACAGCTACTTTCATGGTAAGTGATGTATTGGAGATTTTCTGTGTAGGGTGAAAATAAATCAAGGAAACATACACGGATGAAACCTCTGTAAAGATGGAATACCTGGAGCAATTCCATGGACTGACTGGAACTGAGGCTTGTCAAAGAGGCCTTGAGAGATGTAGTAACAGACTGCAATGAAGATTTATCAGAGGTGAACTTCGTGCGCTATGTGCAAGGCAACATGCTTGGCAAGCAAGACATGAGTCTTTGTGCTTACATCATCCTGTCCAAATGATGTGCATGACAGATAAATATGGATAAAAATGTGGAATGGTTCAGACTGAGATTTTTTTGGTAAAAAATAGAGACAATATGCATATAAAATATAATAATGGATGTTGTCTCTGAGTCCAAGTGATAGCTGGCCATTTAGGAAAGACAGGCAAAGTGGATGAGAAGAGAGATTTTCTGCGTACCTAAAGGAGTGGCTTGAATGCGTGCTCCATGGCTAAGAAAAGGTTGTGAGCTTGTAGGTCAGAAGACAGAAAAAGGAGGAAGACAAGTCTCACGACCACAGGTCCCAGCTGTCAAAGGAGATTTTAACTGCACCAGCACCTGGTGGAAGATGCAATCAATAGAATTCCTGAAGAGTGTCAGAGACACATTTTAATGCGGGTGCTGTACTAGGGAAGGTGTTTTTTTTTTTCCTGGACTTGCTACTCATGACTGTGGTAGAACTGGTTGGAAATGTGATAGTCAGCTATATGATAGTCAGTTTGGTTATTTTTCAGAGTAGGTTTAAGTTGAACTGTTAGGCAAGACCCTGCAGGAACCAAAGGAGCCCAGGATAGCTGGCCAGTTTTTAAGGACAATATAAAAAAAAAGTTATTCTTACCAACTTGACTCTTTTCTATGACGGAATAACTGGCTTTGTGGATGAGGAGAAAACTGTGAATGTCACTTACTTAGACTTCAACAAGATCTTCAACAGTATATCTATAGTGCCCTTGTAGTCAAACTGAGGGAAAATGTATTGGGTGGGAGGGAAAATTGGGTGAGGGAAAATTGTATGGGTGGGCTTTAATGTGGATGAAAAACTGACAAGAAAACTTTGGCAAAGAGAGCAGAAGACAGAGTTTAAAACTCCAGCTAGTATCTGCTTGTGAATGTCATCCTTAGGGACTGATACTGGGACTAATGTCATTTATCTTGATGTTCTGTTAATCTTTATCATGTTCCCTGATATCTTCATTAACAAGTAGAACAGTGTCTCCTTGTCACTTGTATGGATGACATTGCTCTGGGGAGTGGGTGACAAGTGGAAGGGCAGCACTACTATTCACAGGGACCTCTATGGGCTGTGGAAATGGGCTGTGGAAATGGGCTGACAGGAACCTCAAGAACTACAGCAAAGGGAAATACCCAAACCTGTATCTGGGATGAAATAACACTATGCACTGGTATAGGCTGGGTCATACTGGATAGACACTAGATTTACAGAAACATTAAGGATCCTGGAAAGTGAAAGTTTGAAGGTGAGTCAGCAGTGCACTCTTGCAACAATGAAGGCTGCCTGCATACTGAATTACATTACAAAGAGCATAACCTGCAGGTTTTGTAAAGTTGTCCCCCTATCTGGCCATGGTGGGTCACACATGGGATGTTGTGCCTTATTTTTGTGTCTTCTATAACAAGAGAGAGGCCTACAAACTAGGGAGTCCAGTGTAGGTAATAGTGAGAGAGTTGGTGAATATGATGTATTAGAAAAACCTGCTGAAGAAAAAAATATTGTTTAAGCTCGGGAAAAAAGTTTGACATATGACATAATTGCAAGTTTTTAACTGTCTGAAGAGGGGCTGTAGAGAAAATAGAGCCAGACATTTTTCAGAGGTACACTTCAACAGGATAAAAGGCTATCAACAAGTTTCATAAAGGAAATATCTGACTAGGCAGAACAACAACAACAAAAACACATTTACAGTGCAAGTGGTAAAGCACTAGAAGAGGTTGTGGAGTCTCCATTCGTAGACCTGTTCAAATGGTCCAAAAGTTGCCTTGAGCAACTCGGGCTAACATTAAAGTTGCTTTGAGTGGGAGAATGGACTAGATGGCCTTCAGAGATCCCTTCCACCCTAAATTATTCTATGATTCTATGGCTGTATGCTCTACCTCACTCACTGTCAAGACCTAAATCTACAGACAACTTTATTGCAAACCTATAAAGCTTGTGTCTGAGGATTTTCCAAAACTACGCACTTAACACATTGAACATTATGTACAAAATCATCTCTTTTACCCTGACTGTATTTATATCAATCCTCTCTCAGAGTCTATTTCCCAGATGACTTGTTGCTGCAACTCTACTTGGTCAGACTTGAAAATATATACTCACAAATGTGGCAGAAGGCACCTGCCAGCAGCGATCCAGTCTGCCACCAAATCGGGATCATTCTTGAGGAAGAATCTGTAGTTTATTCCAACTGAACTTTCTGAATACTAGCATATGCACTGATCATCCTCCATTCTAACCTCTATAGGATTTCAGAGCACAAATTTGTAGTACAACACAATTTCTAATTGTATTTTCTCTTTTTTAATGCTGACTTTCAATCTGCATCAGCACAATTTTGAATTCTGCCTGAGTTCAGAGTATGTAATTGACTGCAAGTTTCAGTCAAATGCCAGCTGTCATCTTTAATAATGAATCAAGAACAACAGGCAAACAGAGACGTTTTAATAACAAGCAAAAACATTGTCAAACTGAATTTATTTCCAGATGTGGAGAGAGTTTCACTTCTGTTTCACTTCTTCCTCCAGCAGGACTGGTACTCTAATGCCTTTCAGCATGATTTTTAAGGCATTCATTTGTTATGTAACATCCATCAATTATAAAATATATTTATGAGGTCTTGCTAGCAGTCGTTAACAGCGGTATTGTGGGATCACATTTACAAGGCCTAATGAAATGGGAGAGCGAGAGTAATTGGATTGAAATTGGTAAATGAAAACTCATTCCAGGAGAAAAAAAGGTGTAAAATTGATGAGGTCTGACGTGTCATCAAATGTTAAGGATTAAATTAAGTTCCAGTGGAGACATATATTGTGCTTAGTGTAAGTGTTTAATTGAAAGAATAACAAATGCATTAAAAGAAAAAAAAAAAAAAAAAAAAAAAAAAAGCACAGTTATGCATTACCCCTCATTCTACAACTAAACAGAGTAATGTGGATAAATCTTTTCCTATCCTCAGACTGAGCTTTTTGTCCCACATTTTTATTTTATTCTTTCTATTTGCAAATATAAACTGTTTTTCTTTCAAAGAGAAAGTTAACTTGGTGAATTTAAATCAGATGTTTGGAAATACTTTATCTGTATTCTTTGGAAAAAAAAAAAAAAGAATTCTGGCTCACTCTCAGATGAAAAATTAGACATCAAAAAAATTAGAAGTATGAAAGATTTGAAGTTTTCCCCTTTAGCAAAAAGCGGGTTTTAGTAATAAAAAAAAATTAGCTACTGAGCTGAATTTTAACATCTCCAGTTAGTTCCAATTATCTCTGGCAGGAATGAAAAGTGTCTCTGGTGACATAAATTTGACCAGAAGTTTGGGGTGTCTGAAAGAGGCTAAATGGCCAACTATGACTATTTAAGAGTAATTACATGTAGTGTCAACAGGTTTCTATCCCACCTAAATCTAAAAACACACATCTGTACACTAGAAAGAGAAGCTTGAAATCACTTGGCTTAATGGATAAAATGAAGTAACAGTAAATTGTTGAAGCTGTGTTCTCAATCTCACATAAGGCTAAAACACTCTTTTTTCAGGGCTTCTAGGCCTACTACAGCCTTTCTTCCCAAATGGCCTCTCTTACCTTTCTTGAATTGCTTACCTGAAATCCTTGTACATAGTACATGCCAGTAAAGAATTAACCAGAAACTACTCTTTGGTACATCTTAGTTAAAGATCTAAGGAATTTTGCATAAATGCCTGATCAACAAGTTCAGCACTTTGTCCTCTGCCCCTTGCCTTGAAATTACTTTTAGAAAACTACGGCAAAATAAAGTCCAAGCAGCTGAAATAGTAAGTCTAGTTTTCATTATGTTACTAGCTAAGACTAACAGTTACAAGGAGTAGCTAAAAGATGTGCAAAAGTGAAAATGTTGTTTTAGCAAGCAAACTGGTTGTAGTATCACACCACCTTTTCTCAGAAAAAGGCAACAGCTGAAAATTTTGTGTAGGTAGTATATTCTGAATGCTAAACAATAATCAGTAGATATATGTGTGTGTATATATATATGTATACATATATATAGAAATATGTATATATAAATATATATCTGTCAGGACATGTTCTTTATGAAAGATGTCTTGCCTGCTAGGAGACATACCTTTCAAATAAAAAAATCTCGTGTGGTGGTTATCCAGAGGTGCAAAGGGCTGACCATTGCCCTCTGTGGACCTTCGTGCCTTCCAGTTCTTAGTAGGTCAGCTCTATGCATTTTCTATACGATATTAATAGTCCTAGAACAGACTGCTTTAATCACTTGACTCAGAAGAAGTTACTAGCCTGGATTACTGTTCAACAAATGTCAGAAAAGTTCTGCTAGTCAGTTCCACGTTGAAGGTAATTATTTTTTCCTACAACATAACAGAATGCAATAGCTTGTGGTTAAAATGGAGCACTTAGTTTAGAAAGACAACCAATCTTGATTTAAAGATGCCAAGTGACAAATTTACAACAACCCTTGGAAATTTGTTCCAATAATCAATTACCTTCACATAAAAAGCTACATCTGATTTCAAATTGAAGTTCAGGTTCAAACTGACTGGGTTTGAAGATTTGCCTTCTACAATGAAGTTCCCACAGTATCAAAAATGTTCTCCCTGTATAGGGACTCTCTTTTCTACCATGATAATGTTGCTGTGAAAGGTGGGAAAATGTTTCATAAAGACACACATTTTGAGAGGATAAATTTCCTCAGCAGGGAATCTGTAACACCAATTACTTTATCCTATCCTGGAAATCCATGTCCTAGCACTGAAGGATTTACTAATTTACTAGCTGATACAGTAAGTACATTAACTACTAGTACTATGTTAGAAATACTTATTTCCTTTAAAGATTTTTATATTCATGCAAGGTGTATGTCTCACTAGCTTGCTAGATAGCTACATAAATATCTTGCAATAGTCACTCTGAAATGTCTTTCTCAAACTCGCTGTTTTTCTGAATGGTTGTTTCCCATCAAAATCTATCAGCAAGATAGAATGTGCACAGACAATGCCAAGATGTCTATTTAGATTATGTTTGAGTATTTTTTCTTTGTTTATTCTGCTTCTCTTTCTAGGCTGTTTTGCTTAGGAAAATCATTACACACTAATCATAACAAAGAGCTACTAGTGAGGCACAAAATATCAGCAAGCTTACAAGATGTTTGATTCCAAATTGAAAGGAAGCACCATAGGCACTATCCCATGCTGCAAGTTAACATGTCATTCTGCAGCCTCTAGCCTGACCTTTTCTTAACATCAGCTGAAAAACAAAGAGTCTATGCTGTTAGAGCAGCTGCTGTACCTCTAGGCAGGTAACAGTATCATCTTCATGAATGACATCGATGTCACATTTGTGGCATGTCAGGAAGTCCTTAAAACTCTGCAGATCAAAACAATGCAAGATTTTCATATTGACCTTGAGGTGATGATCAAATATGGTCACTTGCAAACTGCAGACATTCGGAAGCCAGACGTGAAAGAATAGAGCTGTTAGATATTTGTATTATGTCAAGCATCTATTTATATTCTAACTGACATATTCATCCTATTTATTTATTTATTTATTTAATTTTCCCTGCAGGGGTAGCAGAAAAAGCACTGTCACCTTTGATAACAATTGTTTCTCTAATTGTTATCAAATAATCTTTAATCTATAATTGTTATTCTATGTTATTCTATGTTAATCTATAATTGTTATTCAAATAATCTATAATTGTTATTCTATAATCTGTGCTGTTTTAAATGTGGTTCCACATTTGTGGAGTTTCTCATAGCCTTCTCCAATTATGACATGTTTAACACAAATTGGTAAATATTTTACCACATTAACACATTTAAAATGACACTAACAATTATACTTAACAGCTGGCAGACAGATATGTGCTGCACTGCTTGCACATTTTATTGCTATCTTTCAGTAATGCTGGAAACTGACCGTTTAATAATATACTTTTTTTTTTTTTAGTAATAGTAGTAGTTTAACAAGCTACACCACTCCCTCATCTGGAGCAGCAGTATACCCAAGCAGAAGGATTAGTGATGTGCAGCTGTTTTACCACTTAATGAAACTTGTAAGTAACTAAGCACTCTAAATTGTGCTTGACAGGTTTTTATTTTATTTAAGAATTACAGCCATAAAACCCAGTGTTCAGAACTGTGAACTCCTTAAGCAGCTGATAGTAAGGAAAAAAGGTTCTATCTTAAACATGATTTCTTTAAGCTACAGGCATTTGCTGGTTATAGAAAGGTCTGCTTTCCCATTTGGCTTTCATAATCCTTGGTCCTCTGGAGCAGGAGCCTACAGACTTGCAGAATCACAGAACAGTTCAGGCTGAAAGGGACTTGAGGTCCCTCGTGATGAAGTCTGTGCTTGAGGCAGCTTGCTTATTACAGCCGGCCTGAAATCTTTGAATCTTCACCTCCCGCCATCTGGGAGATTTTCCTAAGCTGGGGAAATTGGGTTTCTTTCAGTCTTTTCTGTGTCCCCATGCAAGCTAGTATGTTTAGCTGGTTTTACATGGATTAAGCAATGTATAGAGACTTGAAACTTCTAAGAAATGAAAGGAGAAATTTAGCATATTTCCAACAGTGATCTACGGTGGTAAAGAGGAAGGGGTCACTGAAGTTTTCTGTGGGACTCTACAGAGAAATAGGTGGTGAATTGTCACTCTTAGGTGATGTTCAGAGCATGGGAATAGAGAGGATGACACTAGTTTTCATGTCTTAATGGCATTTCGGTTGGCATAACTGACCTGAATTTTAGTAAAATAAGAACAGTTTTTATTACAATTCAAAGCAATTGTACATATTCCATGCTTTTCATCTTCTATCCCTCTGTCCCAATATGTTGCCAATATGTTCTTGTACTGTTCTGAGATATGACAGATAGAAAGCGAGCTAAGGTAGTCACTAAGTAGTGACTACCATGATGTTGGTTTCCACAGGAATAATAAATACATGGAAATAAAAGGAATATAAAATACAAGACCTGATTGCAGGCCAAATGGATAATCTGGACCTGAATAGGTCCTTAATGATGCAGACTTATAGTAAAGTCTGCCTAAAGTATGTTTTTTGTTTGTTTGTTTGTTTGTGTTTGTTTTTGCTTGTTTTTTTTTTTTTTTTTTTTTTTTCCCCCTTCTTTCTGAAGAGGAGTTAACCTGTGAAGCTTGCGTTATAAGTCTCACTCTGAATGAGATCTGTTATTTTAATAGAAGTAATTTCTTAAGTCAAGAACGTGGGCACCATAGAGGGCCTTAAAGTCCAGGTACCTGTTGAGATTTTTCAAAGTAAAGCCAGATGTTGTCCTATGTTGAATAGAGAAATCTGGGAGTAAATTTGTTATAGATGGTTACATAATGCTATGGCCCGGTGTATTAGAAGCTCAGATTATTAAAAATAGCACAGTTTCAAGAGCAGCTCATATGGATTATTTAAATATCCAAATCTGAAATTTAGTACAAAGATTTCAAGAGTAATTTTCATTACTTTCATGAACTTAACCTATTTATGAACTGACCAGGGAAGAATACACAGGATAGGAAATAAATATCTAAATGCTAATACTTAGCTAGGAAATAACTGTGTGACATGTTGACCTTCTAAAACAACTTAGCCATACTTACAGGACAACAGGACTTTAGCACTTACTAATTAAATAATTTTTATTTTCTTCAGAAAGAGAGACCTTAAAATAAGAAAACTCTACAGTACTGCATTCGTGATCGGAAAAAGAATGAAAAACACTGCCTTGCACAGTAGTCTTTTTGTAAAGATTGGATGAAAGCTGGGCCCTGGCAGTTTGGGATGGGAAAAAAAAAATATTAATTATGTACTAGACATGAGACAGTAATAACTCATGCAGGCTTCATTGCTTCATGCCAGATAAAATAAAACTGAAGCCAAGTGAGTGAGAGCTGCTGATGAAACCAGTGCCATCCATTTTTTCGCCATGAATTAGAAACACCAGAAAGAGGAGAATGAAAACACTAGATACAAGATTTCCACTCTTCCTGTAGCTGATCCAGCTAATCTGAAGAAGAAATACAGTAAATGCTCCTGAGAGATGTTATTTTGGTTGGATGAGCATGGAGATTTGGGCTAGGTGATCAAAGGATCTTTGCTTAGAAAAAAATCAAAACTGTGCTTTGCATGTAATCCTCAGAGAGCTACCATCCTGTAAGAGCCAATTGACATGGCACACTGAAAAGGGGAAAGATGACTGTGAGAAAAATAGTTATCTTTTATTAACAAGTTTTTGGAACTAAAGAAGCTCTTTTCAAGTTACAAACACATACAAATGTGCTTAGACATGCACACACTTAGCATCCTTTTTCTGATGTTAAAGTAGGACTTACAGATCTGTTATTGGTACAGGAGAATTTTTAGGAAAAAGAAGCCCATTTAAAAACATTTTAAGATGCATGTTTTTAAAAATTATATTTTAACTATTAATAAATGTGTTGTGTTTAGTATCATCATAACTGAAAAGTCTCTGAAAATTAAATCTGTTAGGAAGTTGAAATAAGATAAATCTGAAATACTGTCAAACATGTTGTTCTTGCTGGAAAAAAAATGGAACAAAAAAAAAGAAAAACAACTATAAACTTGATCAGAGTTTCATTTTGGACACAGCTGAATGAACATGTCATAGTTTAAACTTCCTCTCAGGTTTTTGCCATTCTGTTCAAATAACGTCTGTAAATCAATATCTATAAATTTCCTCAAATATCTTCTAAAATTAAGATACAGCTTTAATTTTACTAAACATGGGTACATATGGTACCCAAATTCCATTCCTACTCTTTGCAAAATATATGCATGTAGACATACACATTTTAAGTGTGCATGGACAACAGACAGAGAAATCCTTTTAGTGTAATTCAGGAAAAGATCTGAATACACTAGAACTGTGTTTAAATATAACTCATACAATCCTCAGACAGAATTCTTTCATCTAAAGTCAATACCCACAAAAGGACATGAAAGATGTTAAAATGACTAGCAGCAGTATTATGTACCTCTTTACTGAATTGAAAAAGCAAACCGCTAAGAAATTGTTTTAAAAAAATAAACCTATAACAATATAGGAAGCAGAATATATTCCTAAAAGGATAAAAGTATGGTAATATTTATTTTAGAAATGTTCTTAATACTTCCCTAAGTGGTTATATTACCAGTGTAATCAAACCACTATTTACAGGGAAACATCATATCTTTAGGTTCTTTCCTGAAATACTTCTTAAAACATATTTTGAAAGTAAATGTAGTAGAGTCTGAGATGTGGTCTCAATTAAAAATCATAATCTAGCATTCATATGCTTCTGAACCATCACAAAAATCCAACATTTTTCGTGTCTCTTCTATGATGTCTTTTTGGTAACTTATGTTCTTTCCTACTTGTACTGAAAAATAAGTAGTAAGCTGTATATGTAGCTGTTGAAAAATAATCTGAGATTCTAAGAAACATTTTCCCACTTCCTAAGTGGCTTCATGGAGTTAGATAATCATAAACAAATCAGGTGAATAGGAAGAAATTTTCTAACAGTACAGCACCAACTGATAGAAAAGTGTTTTTTGTTGCATTTAAGTGTTGCTTTTAAATGTTCTTACAGAGAAATGAGTGATCAACAAAATTTTCACACACACACACACACACACACAAAAAAAAAAAAAACAACAAACAAAAACAACAAAACAATAATCAATAGTTACAAAAATTCTCATTACTTGTGACTGGTTAGTACATATAAGGAGATATAAAATACATTTATAATAAATACTTTTATAATAAAATACATTTGTAACCAGGCTAGCTCTCTGTTATTTAGTATACATGTAAGTATCTGAATCCATATGTTTATGTATGTGTTACTTAGAGACATTTTCTATCCATGAATTCAGAGCTATCAGCTGTCGCGTAAATGGGTTGAGGTTGTTTAGTGGTTGTTTAGTCTCTATGCAGAGACAGTATTTATTTATTCATTTATTTTTATTTTTATTTTTATTTTACTCTTTTCAAATAATTCTTTCCTGTGTTACAGCTTAAAGTGGATAATCTCTGATCCCATGAGGTCAGAATATACCCCTTCTGGGTACAACATACATAAATCAGTAGTTCACAGGATGGCCTGCATTTCCTGCAGCAAGCATAAATATTAGTGCTGGCAATGGTGTAAACACAAGTGACTATGTGTTCTGCTATGCTCTGCAGAAACCCTCAGAATATTTATTTAAATGTTGCCATTTCCCTGTCAACTATTTTTTTCATTTGTATGTTTTAGAAAAACCTGTAAAAACTTACTACAGCCACCTGAAGCCTTTGAATGTATGTAGTTGGCTCTCATTTCAATACACCTGAAGACCTGACAGGATATACAAAAATGAGGTTCCAGGTTGTTTATTACTTTCACTTTTAAATACATCAGTTAAACTAATTCTTACACCAGAACCCCACCTTCTAGATACTGTGCCATGGTTTGATATTTCCAGTTTTTATAAGGTGAAAAGATTTTCTTAAAGCTTTCTGCAGCTGCAGCATTTCTAAGCAGGAGTAAGAGCAAAGGTGCAAACAGAAACTTTACGAGCCCTGCAGTCCCTGGCTGTATAATTAAAATGAAATACTTCTGAGCTTCAGAAACACCTGTTGTATCCTCCTCAGATACTGCTGTTTCCACTAGTTTTCAAAATAGAAATAGAAGGTCAAAGGTCTCATGTGCCAAGTTTAACACCATTTCTGAGTGCTGGGGCTAGATTTCGTGCTCACTGTGCATCACGATATGCAAGCACAGCAGTGGTACCCATACCAGCAGTGAGATAGGAAAGCCCCCAGACCCTACCAGTACACACAGCCCAGACATGGAGGAGCACTAGGCTCTCCTGTGACATGGGAGGAGGGTCCTGGGTACCCAAGGTCTGTGGCAATGGGAACAAATCCCACCTTGTGAGGTGTACATAAAGGGGCTGAATAAGCTGGCAGTGAAAAGAGGTAAAACAGCAGGGTCAGAAGGCGCATGGCTGCATTAGCATTGCTTGCACAGTTTGGTTGCCTCTTTTTTTGAAAGTAATGCTG